AGATATCAAAGAACTGAAAAATGAAAAAATCGAAAAGTCGAAAAACTGAGAATTTGAAATACGCCAAAATCAAAAAGGTAAAAATTAAAACTCGAAAACTCGAAACAAAAAAAAAAAACTGAAAAATCTAAAATTTAAAAATTCGAAAAATTGAAAAATCGAAGAACTGAAAAATCCAAATATTCAGAAACTGAAAAACTTAAAATTTTAAATATAAAAAAATTAAATATCTAGAAATTGAATAATCGGGAAATCGAATCAAAAAATCGAAAAATTGAAAGGTCTAATATTAAAAAATAAAAAAATTGAAAAAGAAAAAATCAAGAAATCGAAAATGGAAGAAAAATTGAAGTATCGAAAAATTGACAAAATGGAAAAATCGAGAGAAAAATCTAAAAAATTGAAAAACTGAAACATTAAAAAATAAATATCAAAAAATAGAAAAATGGAAGAAAAATTGAAAAACCAAAAAATCTAAAACCTAAAAGTCGAAAAATCAAAAGATCGATTTCGGTTTGAAACATCGAAAAACTGAAAAAGTAGAATTTAAAAATTGAAAACCGAAAACCTGAAAAATCGAAAAATTTGGAATTTTAAAAATTGGAAATTAAAATGGCGAAAAATTGAAAAATTGAAAAATCTAAAATTTTAAAATCGAAAAATCGTAGTCTAAAAATTGAAGATTCAAAATATTGAAAAATCCCAAAACTAAAATGCTGAAAAATTGAAAATTCGAAAGGAAAATCGGGAGATAGAGGAATAGAAACATAAAAAAATGGAAAAATTAAAACATTCAAAAATTAAAAACTTGAGAAACCTAAAAATCGAAAAGTGGAAAAATCTTAAAAATCGAATGACCCAAATGTCAAGAAATCGAAATATTAAAAAAATCGTAAAATTGAAAAATTAGAAAATCCAATAATTGAAAAATCAAAAAATCGAAAAATCAAAGATTTAAAAATTGTAAAATAGAAATATCGAAGAGTCGAGAAATCGAAAAGTTGAAAAACTAAGAATCTGAAATAGGTCAAAATCGAAAAGTTCAAAACTGAAAAATTTTAAATTAAATAAACTGATTAATCGAAAATTTCAAAAATCGAAAAATTGAAAAATCAAAATCAACAATTTTAAAAATCGGAAAATCTAAAACCGAGAAGTCGAGAAATGGAAAAATCGAGAAATCGAAACACCAAAAAAAACTGAAAAATCGAAAATTTAAAAACTTGAAAAATTGAAAAATCGAATAACTGAAAAAATCGAAATATCAAGAAACCGAAAAATTTAAAATTTTAAAAATTAAATTACGAGAAATTGAAAAATCGAGAAATCGAGAAAAGGGAAAATCAAAAAGTCAATTGAGATATTGAAAAATCGAAGAACTGAAAAATCAAAATATTGAAAAATCGAAGAAGTGAAAAATGGAAAAATCGAGAGAACGGAAAATAAAAATTGAAAACTTAAAATATCGAAAAATTGAGGAATCGAAAGATTGAAAAATCGAGAAAACGAAACATCAAAAAATCGAAATTTGAAAAATGATATGTTCAAAAATGGAAAAATTGAATCATTAAAAAAACATCCCAAAACTGGAATATCAAAAAACAGAAAAAAGAAAGAAAAATTGAAGAATTGAAAAATTGAAAAATCGAAAAATCAAAAACTTTAAAAATTGAAAACTTGAAAAACCCAAAAATCGAGATATCCAGTGGAATAGAAACATAAAAAAATGGAAAAGATAAAATATCCAAAAATTTAAAAATTGACAAAACGAAAAGTTGAGAAATCTAAAAATCAAAAAATCTAAATATCAAAAAACCGTTTACAATGAAAAATCGAAAAATCAAAAATTAAAAATTTTTAATAATTATAAAATAGGTAGAGATATCAAAGAACTGAAAAATGGAAAAATCGAAAAGTCGAAAAACTGAGAATTTGAAATACGCCAAAATCAAAAACGTAAAAATTAAAACTCGAAAACTCGAAACAAAAAAAAGAAAAACTGAAAAATCTAAAATTTAAAAATTCGAAAAATTGAAAAATCGAAGAACTGAAAAATCCAAATATTCAGAAACTGAAAAACTTAAAATTTTAAATATAAAAAAATTAAATATCGAGAAATTGAATAATCGGGAAATCGAATAAAAAAATCGAAAAATTGAAAGGTCTAATATTAAAAAATAAAAAAATTGAAAAATAAAAAATCAAGAAATCGAAAATGGAAGAAAAATTGAAGAAGCGAAAAATTGACAAAATGGAAAAATCGAGAGAAAAATCTAAAAAATTGAAAAACTGAAACATTAAAAAATAAATATCAAAAAATAGAAAAATGGAAGAAAAATTGAAGAATTAAAAATTGAAAAACCAAAAAATCTAAAACCTAAAGTCGAAAAATCGAAAGATCGATTTCGGTTTGAAACATCGAAAAACTGAAAAAGTAGAATTTAAAAATTGGAAACCGAAAACCTGAAAAATCGAAAAATTTGGAATTTTAAAAATTGGAAATTAAAATGGCGAAAAACTGAAAAATTGAAAAATCTAAAATTTTAAAATCGAAAAATCGGAGTCTAAAAATTGAAGAATCAAAATATTGAAAAATCCCAAAACTAAAATGCTGAAAAATTGAAAATTCGAAAGGAAAATCGGGAGATAGGGGAATAGAAACATAAAAAAATGGAAAAATTAAAACATCCAAAAATTAAAAACTTGAGAAACCTAAAAATCGAAAAGTGGAAAAATCTTAAAAATCGAATGACCGAAATGTCAAGAAATCGAAATATTAAAAAAATCGTAAAACTGAAAAATTAGAAAATCCAATAATTGAAAAATCAAAAAATCGAAAAATCAAATATTTAAAAATTGTAAAATAGAAATATCGAAGAGTCGAGAAATCGAAAAGTTGAAAAACTGAGAATCTGAAATAGGTCAAAATCGAAAGGTTCAAAACTGAAAAATTTTAAATTAAAAAAACTGATTAATCGAAAAATTCAAAAATCGAAAAATTGAAAAATCAAAATCAACAATTTTAAAAATCGGAAAATCTAAAACCGAGAAGTCGAGAAATGGAAAAATCGAGAAATCGAAACACCAAAAAAAACTGAAAAATCGAAAATTTAAAAACTTGAAAAATTGAAAAATCGAGAAATCGAGAAGAGGGAAAATCAAAAAGTCAATTGAGATATTGAAAAATCGAAAAATTGAAAAATCGAAGAACTGAAAAATCAAAATATTGAAAAATCGAAAAACTTAAAATATTAAACATAGAAAAACTAAATATCGGGAAATTGAAAAATCGAAGAAGTGAAAAATGGAAAAATCGAGAGAACGGAAAATAAAAATTGAAAAATTAAAATATCGAAAAATTGAGGAATCGAAAGATTGAAAAATCGAGAAAACGAAACATCAAAAAATCGAAACTTGAAAAAATGATATGTTCAAAAATGGAAAAATTGAAACATTAAAAAAACATCTCAAAACTGGAATATCAAAAAACAGAAAAATGAAAGAAAAATTGAAGAATCGAAAAATTGAAAAACCAAAAAATCTAAAACCGAGAAGTAAAAAAAATGGTTTGAAACATCGAAAAACTGAAAAATCTAGAACTTTGAAAATCTAAAAATTGAAAAACACAAAAATCGAAAGTACGAGAAATAGAAACATGAAAAAATGGAAACATTAAAATATCAAAAAATTCAAAAAATTGAGAAAACGAAAATTTGAGAAATCTAAAACCCGAAAAGTCGAAAAATCTTAAAAATCGAAATACCGAAGAGATGTCAAGAAATCGAAATATCAAAAAATCGTAAAATTGAAAAATTAGAAAATCCAAAATTGAAAAATTAAACATTTAAAAATTCGAAAAATTGTAAAATACAGATGGCGAACAGTCGAGAAATCCAAAAGTCGCAAAACTGAAATATGTATGTAAAATCGAAAAGTTCAAAATTGAAAAATTTTAAATTAAAAAAAATCGATTAATCGAAAAATTGAAAAATCAAACTCAACAATTTTAAAAATTAAAAAATTGGAAAATCTAAAACCGAGAAGTCGAGAAATCGAAACATCAAAATCTAATTCGAAAATCGAAAAATTGATAAAATAAAACATTGAAAAGTCGAGAAATCCAGAAATGGGAAAACCAAAAAGTCAATTAACCAAGAAATTGAGAAATTGAAAAATTGAAAAATCGTAAAAGTGAAACATTAAAAATGAAGAAATTGAGAAATTGAAAATCTAAAGCATCGAGAAACTGAAGAATCGAAAAATTGAAAAATCCCAAAACTGAAACATCGGAAAATCAAGAAATCGGGAAATCGAAAAGAGATAAATTTTAATTAACAATTTACCATGCTCCGACAACCCTAAAACGTTTGCAACATTTTAAAACATTCGATTTTTCAATTTTAAAATTAAATTGACAGACCACAGGCGGGCAAACAGACGGAAACGGAAGACTTATTTTTTTCGTACTCTAGAGGTCATGAAACGTCGAGAAAACATAAAACTAACCACTTGGCAAATGGACTTGATTACAACACTTCCTTAGGGGCTTACGCTTACATTTTTTTTTAGGATGTAGGTAGTTTAATTGGTTGAACTTGAAGCTTGAAAGTTATCAGTTGCGTTCATCAACGGCAACAAAATTATTAAAGCTACGCCTAAAAATATTCACTACCGTTTCCCACATTTCAAATTTATGATAAAAAATGAATCACCACACAATAGTACAATGAATGACTCAGACTTTGTTTAGCAAACAATGCAGCATCTGGTATCATACAGCCACACATGAACATAGCATAGTAAATAATTAAATACATATTTTTTTACAATCAAATTACTAGATAATAAAAAACGAAATTGATAAAAAAATTAAATGCATTTAAACCAAAGACAAGCGTTTGTTGTCAATATAATTTTAAGCCCACAAACCGCGGACTTTATTCCCATTAACCTTGACGAACGAGACGCCAATTTTTTTTTTCAAAAAAACCTGTTCTTACCTGGCGTTTCTGCATAGATATTAGGTAAAATAAAAGCCCCATAATCCGATCTATAACAAGGCGAGACTCCTGGTATAAGCGGGTACACCCAATCCCCAATTTGCAAAATCGCCCTTGGAACATTCTCACCCTCATCTACAAACAAATTCATTAAAACCTGAAAAACAAACAACCACAACCACATACTTTCAACCAATATAATTTTCAACGTTTGTGGCACCAAAGTCGAAGACACCTCCCCACTGGCAGAAACAAAGTATAATTTAACATTTTCATACATATACACCACCTCTGCCTCCATAGCAGTATCCGTATTGACACTGCTCACAGTCATCTGATTTAAAGCAGTTGCCAAATCACTGTATGTCTGAGGCGTTTCTGTGGGTGTACTAGCCATAGCTTCCTCGTAAGATGGAGGCTGCTCTCTGTGGTCAAAGTGATCATTCGAACACTGAATGGACGTTATTCTGGACATTATTTCTCCTCTGGTCTTTTTCATTTTTTGTATCATTACTACCGCTTTCTCCCAGGTCAGGTCTGGGTTTTCTGGACATGTAACTTGGATGGCGAGAGCGCTGTCAATTAAAGCGATACCTTCTTTGTAGCGTTCGATTGCCTACAATGGACAAATATAAGAAAAGGTGCTGCGTTTGTGATATACTTACCTCAGCTGGCCTTTCTTGCTCTTCCAGTGTAATAGCATTTTGGATTACGTTGTAAGCGGCGTCATGTTTACTTTTGATTTGGGAGTAAGTCGAGGACCATTCTGAGGAGGCAGAAGCTGAAGACGCTGCGTTTCCCATTGTTAATGGAAAGAACGGAATTTGAGGTTATTAATAAACAAGTGAAACACGAATCACACTATCGTAAATGATAACTAACACATTAAGATATCAATAATGAGTGAGTCACAGCTCAAAGTACAAATTAATTTGACGATGTTACGATGTCTTGTTTTTTTAACAATTTTGAAATATTAAGAAACACGTATGGCGTCACTTTCACTGTCGTAATTTACCTTTGTTCATTGCCAAAGAATATGTTTTGGTTGTTTTCCTTGATGTTAAACAACAATAAAAGAACGAAAACAAATGACTTATGCAACCAATAAAACACACAAACAAGTTATGGTGTTGACATATGGATTCAGGTGTTTATGGCATCAGGAAGAAGACCTCAGAACGCATGTGACTGATGTGATTTATTGATTGCTCTATTTCTTTGTACTAAGCTTAAAATAAACGTTAAAATGATGAACAGCGCTTTTGCATTAGAGGTCATATGTTATATATGCAACAGACAGTGCACCACCAATTTTATTGAACAATGATTAATCTAACATAAAATCCTTTTATATCTAATCGATTAATAAAGTAATTCTAAACCATAAGGGTGCGTAATTTTAACTTTGAAAAAAAGATCGACATTTCAATTGATAGATTACGTCTAAATCTCTGGGGAAGAAACAATATTTTTTAAAATAAGTGATTGTTTAGTGTTTAATTAATCGTTCATTCTTCGAAGGAAATTCAATTTTTAGACGACGAGGGAGCATGTTTCGCTTCAACTTTTATATCAGTGCAAAGACAACATTGAGCTCTATGGGAAAGAACCGGTCATTTTTGTTTAAAATTTATATTTATCAAAATATTTGCTTTTTTAAAAAAATATTGAATAATGAAAATAACGTGAAACTAGGCAACCCTATTTACAAAGGGTCCGTTTCAATCAATGGTTCAGTTTGACACAGCAGGGGGGGGCTTGCCGACCGACCTTTTCAGGTAATCAGTTATTAAGGTTATAAAATTCATAAATACTCTTGCCGACGAACATTGTTGAAACTCTTTCCACTATTACTATTTATTCCTGCGAATGCAATAAAAATATTTAAATTTACAATTTTTTTTTAGAATTTGTCAGATGGGTTGACTTTTTTTATAACGAGAATCTACTATCTCCGGAAGTAAGGCATATAAATAAAATTTTTCTAGGGGCCCTATCATATTATATACCCAAGATTTATCGTCTCGTTGAATGATGCACTATTTAAATTTTTTTGTTTAACTAAGAATTAATTCATTAATTGTGTTTGATACAAACAAAACGCCCTAAATTAACAATACTAGTAGAACCGTAATCATCCAATAGATTTTTTTTGGTAAAGTACAGTTATTTTTATGTTTTAGCAGCATTGTGTTCTATTTTCTATTAATTTTTGCATATTTTTAGTCACAATTTTGGTAGTTATTTTTTACTTTTACTTTTAGCAATAATAAATAATCCAAACATGAAAAAATCAAAAAAATAAAAATTGGAAAATCTAAAATTTAAAAATCGAGAAATTGAAAAATCGAAACATCGAAAAATCGAAAAGTAAAAAAAGAGATGGAAAATCGAAAATTTTAAGAATCCCGAAAATTGAAAAATTGAAACATAGAAGAACCGAAAACTCGAGAAATCAAAAATCTAGAATTTTAAAAATTGAAAAATTAAAATATCGAAAAGTTGAAAAATTGAGAAATCTAAAGTTTAAAAAACGAAAAACTGAAAATCGGGAAATCCAGAAGTCGAAGAATCGTAAGCTTATAAAATCAAAAAATTGAAACATCAAAATCCTGAGAAATTGAAAAATTCAAACATCAAAAACCTGAAAATTTCAGAAGACATTAATATTAATTATATTATACAAGAGTTTTTACAGAAAAATAACAAAGGAAAATTCACGCCTACTTTGGAGATGAACAAGATTGAACTCATTTAACAGCTCAAGCTGCGAAAATCCTTGGATAGGGTAAACACCATATTTTTTGTAGAAAGCATTACTTACAGAATTTTCTCTGCACTTTTTCCAAGATCTGTAAATGTGTAATATAAAGAAGAATTGAAGAAGTGAAAAATCGAAACTTTGTGAAGAAATGGAAAAATAAAAAAAAGATTAGTTCAGAAATCGGAAAACTGAAAATTTAGAAACGTCAAAATTTGAAAAATTGAAAAATCGAAATATTTAGAAATCGTAAAATTGAAGAGGATAAAAATTGAGAAATATCATTGAAACATCGGAAAATTGAAAAATCGAAAAATAAAAAATGGAGAAACCGAAAATTTGAAGACTGGAAAAATTGAAAATGCCCAAAATTGAAGTACAAAAATAATTTGCACACTTAGAATGGTCCCCTAATATTCAGTCTAACACAACATTTTATTTTCTTTATAATGTTTTAAAAATATATAAAATAAACTGTTTATGTCCAAATATAACAGTAAAAAAAAATGCAATTGTTTAATCCTGTGTTCCAATATTGTATGAAAAAAAGAACTAAGTCCAACTTGAATGGTCGGTACTAAGGTCTACCCCTCAATGTTTCCCTGAAAAAAAATTACTTATTTCAAATAAGAAAAAAGAAAAAGTACTCGTCGAACTCGTCATCACTTCGATAGCCATCTGTAAATGGCAATTCCGTGTAAAATGACTGAAACTTCTCCGACACGAACAACTTCAGTTCTTGCAGTTGATCGTATTTTTTCCTAGCCAAAGATATCGAGGCAGAATATGACGCTTCAAGGTTAGATTTCCAGATATAAGATACAGAAAAAACGAAAACGTTCCTTGGCATAAAAACAAATTTAATTTAAAAAATGACATCCTGAATGGACCCAACCACATATTAGGGGACCATTCTAAATGTGCAAATTATTTTTGTAAACAAAGTGGACAAGAAAGTTCAACAGTTTTGTCTATAGCATAATCCTGAGCTTGTGGTTTATAAATACATCAATAGATTTCCCGATTTTTATACTTTAGACGTTTCAGTTTTTCAGTACTTCAATTTTGGGCATTTTCAATTTTTCCATTCTTCAAATTTTCGGTTTCTCCGTTTTTTTATTTTTCTGATGTTTCAATGATACAATTTCTCAATTTTTATCCTCTTCAATTTTACGATTTCTAAATATATATTTCGATTTTTCAATTTTTCAAAATTTGACGTTTCTAAATTTTCAGTTTTCCGATTTCTGAAGTAACCTTTTTTTTATTCTCCCATTTCGTCCCAAAGTTTCGATTTTACACTTCTTTAGTTCTTCAATTTTTCGATTTTTCAGGTTTTCGATGTTTCAATTTTTCAATTTCTCAGGATTTTGATTTTTCACATTTTTGATTTTATAAGCTTACGATTTTTTGACTTCTGGATTTCCCGATTTTTAGTTTTTTGTTTTTTAAACTTTAGATTTTTCAATTTTCGGCTGTTTTATATTTCGATTTCTCAATTTTTAAACTTTTCGATATTTTAATTTTTCAATTTTTAAAATTCTAGATTTTTGATTTCTCGAGTTTTCGATTCTTCTATATTTCAATTTTTCAATTTTCGGGATTCTTAAAATTTTCGATTTTCCATCTCTTTTTTACTTTTCGATGTTTCGATTTTTCAATTTCTCGATTTTTAAATTTTAGATTTTCCAATTTTTATTTTTTTGATTTTTTCATGTTTGGATTATTTATTTATTGCTAAAAGTAAAAGTAAAAAATAACTACCAAAATTGTGACTAAAAATATGCAAAAATTAATAGAAAATAGAACACAATGCTGCTAAAACATAAAAATAACTGTACTTTCCCAAAAAAAAATCTATTGGATGATTACGGTTCCACTAGTATTGTTAATTTAGGACGTTTTGTTTGTATCAAACACAATTAAAGAATTAATTCTTAGTTAAACAAAAAAATTTAAATATTGCATATATAATATGATAGGGCCCCTAGAAAAATTTTATTTGTATGCCTTACTTCCGGAGATAGTAGATTCTCGTTATAAAAGAAGTCAACCCATCTGACAAATTCTAAAAAAAAAAATTGTAAATTTAAAATTTTTTATTGCATTCGCAGGAAAAAATAGTAATAGTGGAATAGCTCTACTGGAGATACCACGTAAAAAAACGCCCCTATTATACTTTACCTCATTAAAATATTTAAAGAAATGTGTTTGTTCAGGTAAATAACTGCTTAGTGAAGAGATGAGAATCTAAATCTTGTCAGTTTTGTGTATTGATTTATATATAAAATGACAGATTATTAAAAAATATTCGAATAATTTTTTGAAAGAAAACATTTTAGTAGAATGTAGGTATCAAATTATAAAAATTTTCATATTTTTAAATCAAATTATGTCAGCAATGAAAGAAGTCGACTTGTAAAAGTGTTTCAACAATGTTCGTCGAATTTATGACTTTTATGACCTGAACTGATTACCTGTGAGGGTCGGTCGGTAAGGCTCCCTGCTGTGTCAAACTCAACCATTGATTGAAAGGGACCCTCTGTAAATAGGGTTGCCTAGTTTCACGTTATTTTTATTATTCAATATTTTTTTAAAAAAGCAAATTGTTCATTCGATAGACCAGTGGTGGGTTTGTCACCCCCACCCTGCTCAGGTCTCACTTGTAATTTTAAGATAGAACGTAATAAACCATCGAAGGGACAACAAGCCTATTACTCATCCCTTCAAACGTTCCAACACAAATATTTTGATAAATATGTACAATTTTTAAACAAAAATGACCGGTTCTTCCCCATAGAGTTCGATGTTGTCTTTGCGCTGATATAAAAGTTGAAGCGAAAGATGCTCTCTTGTCGTCTAAAAATTGAATTTCCTTCGAAGAACCAAGGATTAATTAAACACTAAACAATCACTTATTTTAAAAAATATTGTGTCTTCCGCAGAGATTTAGACGTAATCTATCAATTGAAATGTCGATCTTTTTTTCAAAGTTAAAATTACGCCCGTGCAATGAACTTATTTAGCTCATTTTTCGATCTGCTACTGGGCACCCTTACGCTCCGCCTTCTTGGTTCACGACGAATAAAAAAAATCATACAATTGAGATAGGGAGGGTGGGCGGGGCTATATATATATTTTTTCTGTTATTAAGAGAGATTTTTGTAGCAAAAAACCAGCTCGATGGAATTCATACCGTACGTAATATACTAAAATTTATGTACAAGTGAAATACACTAATGAACGTAAATTTAAATAAATTAAACACGTTATAGAAATCTGTAGTTTGACATTTCAATTTTTGTTTGTACTTTACAAAATGTAGTTCTCTCAGTCAATTAATCTTAAAAAATATTAAATCTTAAAACAATATTTTTGTTAATTTTTATCATTGTTATTTTACTAAACTAGTTTCCTGTATTTGATTCGATTTAATCTCATTGCGGAGTTTAAAATTCCCGGGAAAGTTGTTTAATGGAGTGTTCTGGAATTTTGCAACGTTGTCCAATTGTGCAGAGTTTATTAACATACGGAAAACACTGAAGATTTCCATAAACTGACAAACAGTAGAGCTAGAGATCAAGGATTTCTGGTAGACAGCAAAAAGACACATCTTATTAGCATCATATTGGTATTTATGTACGGCAATAAAACGATAAAACGTCGGGTTTAATTTTTTTTTTTTTGAGTAATTCTAAAACAGCGACTTCAACCGTAAGTTCACACAAACATAATTTTTGAAAGCCATCTACAAAATATAGTGTAAAAGTACCAAAAAACTATTTTTTTTGTATATTTTTATTAATTTCTTACAGACGACAGACGCACGGTAAATAAAATTTGCATGTTCGTGTTCCACGAACGCCAAGAGACCATTACTCTGCACGTGACTTTTTTACAATCCTTTTTTTAACGATCACTCTAGCAGTAAACGTGACAACGCCTCAAAATCGACCCTCTCACTTTAACTATACCACGTTCTCTTTCTCACTGTCATTCGAGTCTTACTTCGACGCACGTGAAGTTCAAAGTGCTCAAAGCTCTTTCGTCGGCAAATTCCACCCGAATTTCGAAAAAATGTTGTCTGCGGCCCGTATTTTCAGTCGTAAAGCCGTCGAGTGTTCCAAATTGAGCTTCGACATCACCGGCAAAAGGAATTTCAGCCATTTAACCAACAACGTGAGTTCAACTATTAAACAACCTTAAGTTAAAATTACCCGATCTAACATTGCACTTTAAACTTGAAAAGTGTTCTATTTTTACTCTCGAGTCACTATCTGCACCGACAACCCCGAATTAAACCCTCAAATTCCGTTCTGAATTTTTTTCCCGAAAGTGAGGTTATGTCGCCGGCGATGTCGATAATGTTGCGTCATATTCACGTTGTAAAAAATCTCATTTTCAGGCCTCTTCGTTTTCTCTACACCCCAAATATGACATCCAAACCCGCTTCAAGTAAGTATAGTCACAGTTCTTGGAATTGAAAACCCACTAAACGATGTTTTTAGATCCGAAGGCGTCAAGGGCGCCGTTATTGGCATCGACTTGGGCACCACAAACTCCTGCGTTGCTGTCATGGAAGGCAAACAGGCGAAAGTAATCGAAAATTCTGAGGGTTCTCGAACGACTCCGTCGATCGTCGCGTTTAGTAAAGACGGGGAGAGGTTGGTGGGCATGCCAGCGAAAAGACAGGCTGTTACCAACTCCGCCAACACTTTTTATGCCACGAAGCGTCTGATCGGGAGAAGATTCGACGACAACGAAGTCAAGAAAGACATGTAAATCTTATCAGTTGCTTGTTGCACTGTTTTGAGATGTTGTTTGCAGGAATAATGTGTCTTACAAAATCGTGAAAGCGACAAATGGGGACGCGTGGGTGCAAGGAAGCGACGGAAAAATGTACTCGCCGAGTCAAATCGGGGCTTTCGTACTGACGAAAATGAAGGAGACGGCCGAGTCCTACTTGAACACGAAAGTAAAGAATGCCGTTATTACAGTTCCGGCGTATTTTAACGATTCGCAACGTCAAGCCACGAAGGATGCGGGGCAGATCTCTGGGTTGAATGTTTTGAGGGTGATTAACGAGCCCACGGCGGCGGCGCTGGCGTACGGCATGGATAAGACCGAAGATAAAATGTGAGTAATTTTCACAAGATAAAATTAACCATGAAACAAGTAATTTTTACTTCTCAACTATTTTTATGTTTTCTCGGGGTTTCATGATTCCTAAAGTACAAAAAATATGTCCCCGTTTCCGTCTGTTTGTCTGACGTCTAATCCTCCCCACCAACAATAAGATGAAGTCATCTCCATAGTTTACATTGGCAAATATTTTTTAAATTTGAAAAAATAAGGTACTCTTGCACTTGTGGTTTATGAATCCGTCTTGAGTTTTTACCTAGACATCCAGTTTTTTGAAAAAAAAAGTCAAAATTATGTAACATTTTCCAATTTAAGCTTGAAAGTTCAAAAGCGCATGCGCTTAAAAACATCCTTTAGGGTTTAAAGTAGCATGATTTGTTTTGAATTTTTATGCTAGATTTAAGAGATTTTTTGAAAACATTAAACTGTTCAATTTTTCGTTTTTATAAATTTTCGAATTTTCAAGTTTTCCATGTTTCGATTTCTCTATTTCCAAGTTTCATTTTATCAATTTTTCGATTTTTCAATTCCTCGATTGTCCAGTTTTTCAATGACTTAATTTTTCAATGTTTCACTTTTGGGATTTTTCAATTTTTAGATTCAATTTCTCGTTTTATGAAATTTTTCATTTCTCGTTTTTTCTATTTTTCGATTTTTAAATTTTTTTAATTGTCAATATTTTAATGCTGGGCGTTTCTAAATTTCCCATTTCTCAATTTTTCGATGTTTCGGCTTTCTCGAGTCCTCGATTATTCAATTTTTTTATTTCTTCAATTACTAGATTTTTCTATCTCGCCTTTTTTTTAATTTTTCGTCTATTAAATTTTACATTTTTCGATTTCTCGATTTATCGAGATTTCGGCGTTTCAATTTTTTTTATTCAGATTTTAATTTTCCGATTTTGAGCCATTTCGATTTTTAAATTTATCGATTTTCCAATTTTTGTCTTCTCGACTTTTCAATTTCCAGTATCGAAAACTCGAGAAATCGAAAAATCAATATGTAAAATAATTGAAAAATCGAAAAACGAAAGACTGGAAAAATTGAAAATGGAAAACTAACAAATTGAAAAATCTAAAAACTGAAGAATGGAAAATTTGAAAAATCGAAATTCAAAAAATCAAAAATCGAAAATTTGAAATATCGAAGAACTGAAATATGTATTGAAAATCGAGAAATCGAAAAGGAAACAAATCGAAAATTCCATGTTTCAATTTTCAGTTTTTTTAACTTGGGCTACTGTCTTTTTTTTTCATTGTTTCGACTTCTCATTTTTTCTAAATTTTAGTTTGGAGATTTTTTTTTACCGTTTTGGCTTTGTTAGATATTTCGATTCTTCGATTTAGGAAATTTCGTTTCTCGATTTATTTTTCGATTTTTGGATTTTCGAATTTTCGGTTTTCCGATTTCTCGGATTTTCGTTTTTTCGAGTACATATTTGTTTGATCGAATTTTCGTTTTTTTTCCGTTTTTCCATTCTTCAGTTTCTCGATGTTTCAAATACTTTATTTTTCGATTTTTCAGGTTTTTGATTCTTCAGTTTTTCGAGTTTTCGATTTTTCGATTTCCCGATTGTCCAGTTTTTCAATGACTTAATTTTTCAGTATTTGATTTTTGGGATTTCTCAATTTTTAGATTCAATTTCTCGTTTTTTGAAATTTTTCATTTCTCGTTTTTTTATTTTTTGATTTTTAAATTTTTTTAATTGCCAATCTTTTAATGCTGGGCGTTTCTAAATTTTCCATTTTTCGACTATTCGATCTCGGTTGTTTTCATTTTTCAATTATTCGATTTTTCAATTTTTCGACATTCGATTTGTAGATTTTTCGATATTTTGATTTTCCCATTACTCAATTTTTCGATGTTTCGGCCTTCTCGACTTCTCGATTATTCGATTATTCAATTTTTTTATTTATTCAAATATTAGATTTTTCTATCTCTCCTTTTTTTTTAATTTTTCGTGTATTAAATTTTACATTTTTCGATTTATCGAGATTTCGGGGTTTCGATTTTTTTTATTCAGATTTTAATTTTTCGATTTTGGACCATTTCGATTTTTAGATTTATCAATTTCCCATTTTTTGTCTTCTCGACTTTTCAGTTTCGAGTAAAATAATTGAAAAATCGAAAAACGGAAGAATGGAAACATTGAAAATGGAAAACTAACAAATTGGAAAATCTAAAAACTGAAGAATGGAAAATTTGAAAAATCGAAATTCAAAAAATCAAAAATCGAAAATTTGAAATATCGAAGAACTGAAATATGTATTGAAAATCGAGAAATCGAAAAGGAAACAAATTGAAAATTCGATGTTTCAATTTTCGATTTTTTTTACTTGGGCTACTGTTTTTTTTCATTGTTTCGATTTTCATTTCTTCTAAATTTCAGTGTTGAGATTTTGTTACCGTTTTTAGATACATATTTAGATTCTTCGATTTAGGAAATTTCGTTTTTTTATTTTTCCATTTTTCCATTCTTCAGTTTCTCGATCTTTCAAATACTTTGCTTTTCGATTTTTCGGTTTTCGTATTTTCGGTTTTTCAAGTTTTTCGATTTTCAATTCTTCAATTTTTCGATTAATCAGGTTTTTGATTCTTCAATTTTTCGAGTTTTCGATTTCCCGATTTTTCAATTTTTTGATATCTCAGTTTTTCGACTCTTCAATTTTTTAATTTTTTGATTCTTCAATTCTTTGGTTTCTTAAATTGTTACAGTTTTCTATATCTCCTGTTTTTAATTTTTTAATTTTCGCCTATTAAATTTTACATTTTTCGATTTATCAGTTTTATTAATTTTTCGGTTTCTCGATTTATCGAGGCTTCGATGTTTCGATTTTTCAAATTTTAATTTTTTTATTTTCGATTTTGGACCATTCGGTTTTTAAAATAATTGAAAATTCGAAAAACTGAATGGAAAATTTAGAAAATCGAAGAACTGAAACATGAATCCGTTTTGAATTTTTATCTTCCGCTTCGAAATTTTTGAAAAAAATCAAAATTGTACAATTTTTCGTTTTCCCAATTTTTCAAATTTTTAGTTTCGTTTCTCGATTTTTTAAGTTTTTTTTTAATTTTTCGGTATTTCATTTTTAGAATTTCAATTTCTCGATTTTTTTATTTTTCAATTTCTCTATTTGCTGATATTTCAATTTTAGGATTTTTCAATTCTTTCGAGTTGTAATTTTTTCATTTTTCAAAATTTCAATTTTTGGCGTTTTTGAAGTTTCGATTTTTTCAACTATTCGATTTTTCGGTTCAGTTCTTCAGTTTTTTGATGTTTTATTTTTTCAATTTCTTAAATCTTACCCTTTTCGATTTCCCGTTTTTTGATTTTTCAGTTTTAAAATTTTTCGATTTTTCAATTTGTCGATACATATTTGGTGTCTTGGGATTTCTCAATTTTTCGATTTTTCAGATTTTTGATTTTTTAACTTCTTGATTTCTTAAATTTTAGATTTTTCGATTTCTTTTTTTTTTATTTTTAGATTTTCTACTTTTCAATTTTTCGTTTTTTAAATTTTACGTTTTTCAATTTTTCAGTTTTTAATTTTACGATTTCTCAGTTTTATGTTTCGATTTTTGAATTTTTCGATTTTTTTTTAATTCCAATTTTTTGATTTTTCGGTTTTCGACCATTTCAATTCCTCGATTTTTAAGTTTATCAATTTTCCATCTTTTGACTTCTCGACTTTTCGATTTCTTGATCTTTTGATTTTTCGATTTCTCGATGTTGAAAATCGAAAACTCCAGAAATCAAAAAATCGAAAAGTAAAATAATCGAAAAATTGAAAAACTGAATAATGGACAAATTGAAAATCGAAAAGTAAAAAAATTGAAAAGTCTAAAAACTTAAGAACGGAAAAATCGAAAAATTAAAAAAAACAAGTCGGAAAAATTGAAAAATCGAGGAACTGAAAAATTGAGAAATCGAAAAGGAAACGAATTGAAAATTCACATATAGAAAATTAAATGTTTCGATTTTCAATTTCTCGGTTTTTCAAATTTTCGATTTCTCGTTTTTTTTTATTTTTCGATTTCTGTATTTGCCGATATTTCAGTTTTACGATTTTTCAATGTTTTCGATTTTTTAATTTTTTTAGTTGTCAATATTTTAATGTTGGCCGTTTCTAAATTTTCCGTTTTTCGATTAATGGATCTCGATTTTTTTCATTTTTCAACTATTCGATTTCTCAATTTTTCGATATTTTGGCTTTCCCGACTCCTCGATTATTCAGGTTTTTGATTTATAAATTTTTTGATATCTCAGTTTTTCGACTCTTCACTTTTTTAATTTTTCAATTCTTCAATTTTTTGTTTTCTTAAATGATTAAATTTTTCTGTTTTTCCTTTTTTTGATTTTTTAATTTTTCGTTTATTAAATTTTACATTTTTCGATTTCTCGATTTATCGAAATTTCGGTGTTCCGATTTTTTAAATCAAATTTTTCAAATTTTAATTTTTCGATTTTGGGCCATTTCGATTTCTCATTTTTACATTTATCAATTTTCCATTTTTTGTCTTCTCGACTTTTCAATTTCTTGATCTTTTGATTTTTCGATTTCTCGATGTTTCAATTTCGAGTATTAACTCGAGAAATCGAAAAATCAATAAATAAAATAATTGAAAAATCGAAAAACGGAGGAATGGAAAAATTGAAAATGGAAGAGTAACAAATTGAAAAATTTGAAACATCGGAAATTCAAAAAATCAAAAATCGAAAATTTGAAATATCGAAGAAGTGAAATATTGAAAATCGAGAAATCGAAAAGGAAACAAATTGAAAATTCGAATCTGGAAAATTCAATGTTTCGATTTTCGATTTTTTTTAACTTCGGCTATCGGTTTTTTTCATTGTTTTGATTTTCAATTTTTCGATTTTCCAATTTTTCTGAATTTCAGTTTTGAGATTTTTCCATTTTTCAATTTTTCATGTTTTTTTTTAATTTTGCATTTTTTGGTTTTACGATTTTTTAATTTTTTATACGTCAATTTTT